CTAGTGTGCAACAGGCCACCCAGAGTATATCAGTACCGATGGAGTCCCCATTAGAGAGACTGAAGAGGTATAAAATAATTTACTTTTATGGTTTAGGCGATGATGATCCAATTTCGACCGATTAGTGGCTGAGGCAGATAATGAGGACTTTAAGGCAGCTTCATCTTACCCTAGAAAATAAGTTAGAGTGCATCATCGCTTTGCTCAAGGGTGATTCTATCGATTGGTGGGAGACTGTAGAGATGACTCTACAACCATATGTGCCTACATGTGATCCGTTTCTAGATGATTTTAGAGGCAAATATATCGGTGAGGCACACATAGATGGTTTGAGGATGCAGTTTTGTCAGTTGGTTTAAAGGGACCGCTCAGTGTACGAGCACGAGAAGGATTTTCTTCAGTTGAGATATTATACCCTAAATTTAGTTACAACTGAGTCCTTGAGGTGCAAGAGGTTCCTTGAAGGGCTACATATAAACATCTATGAGTAGTTGGCGGTAGACCTAACTAAGTATTTTCAGAGTTGACACTGCAGGACAAGGCCGTAGAGAAGGTGCAAGCTATAAGGAAGAGTTTGTTGGGAGATTTATGTAGCCTAAGTATGAGGACTTAAGTGCTAGTAGACCGGTCTCAGTCATTGGCCAAGAGGACTAGAGGTATGTGTGAGCAGAGGAGAATGACATTAACTTTGTCACTTCAGCCGAGTCAGAGGTCAGACGTAGGGAGACCGTCATCTTCTCCGTCTATTGCTAGCTGTGGAGGCTCTAATAGAGTTTTGAGGTATCCAGAGTGCAAGCTTTGTGGCAAAAATCATCGAGGAAGGTGCTTCAAGCTTTCTATGAAGTGTTATGGATGTGGATCCTTGGCACATATAGTGAAGATTGTCCTATTTTGGTTGGACAGGAGAGTAGATGAGCAATTTAACTTGTTCCTGGTTAAACGATGTTCGATCCCTCTTGTCAAATAGTATAGGAGTAGGGTCAGGATGTCGATGACGTAGATGAGATGCCAGGTATGTTTTTAGATGTCTCAACTTTTCATGTTGCTTCAATAGGCATAAGTGCATGCATTATTTTGTGATGATAAGTAAACTGGATGAAGATAATCATCGTGTGAGGATCTAAATGTCAAGTTGGTAGACCCTAGCATAATAAGAAAAGTTATTTTAAAATTTCTTTGAGGGTTCATATGATCGACACACATAAATTTTGAAATCCCAAGTTTAGTGTTGGAGACGAAGATCTCCACGAGAGTCAAGAATACCAAGTCGCTTTAAAGAGTATGTCGATCAATCTATTTTCCAGAAACGTTAGGATGTACCTCAATCAGTGCCACGACACTTCAGTTTCTAACTGGGCACAAATACCCCAAGTATTCTCGATTAGTAAGTTAACAAGATGTATGTTTCGATGCAGCAGTTTCGAAATCCTACCTTATATACTAAAAGCACTAAGGTCAGGTATGAGTTACGAGTCTCAAAGTGCAGAGATTTCCTTTAATTTTGTTAGTATCTATTCTTGCGCGATCAGAATGTGAATAAGCTAAGTGAGCCAAGCCTCATTAGTTATGTCTTCATGTTGGTATATGAGCGTAAGCTATATACAACACATAGCAGTATGCAACGTTACATAGTATCAAAAACTTTGTGTGCTTCAGATTAAAGAAAATCAAGTTCGTTAAGCCTCGTATGACTAACCATAGTTGTCATTGAATATCTCAATGAAGGTAAGCATTAGCGATTGTAAGATTTAGTCTCAGAACCCCTAAGCCAGATTTTAGACATGTAAGATCTCCTATTTATGTTGTGTACTCTCCAAGAGAGTCAAATGTTGCAAGTTTCGCTAGATGAGTGGTCGATTTTCAATTGTGAGTACCTTAGGTGCTCGATCAGGTGAGAAAATATTATGTAGATCGCAAAGTATATGAGAAACAATTAGGTTATGTGGATAAGTATTGAATCAGAGTTGCGCTGCAGAAGCATAGAGATCGACATTGGTCGATAATTATTGTCACCTCTTTAGTAGCCAGTATCGAGATAGGGTTAGCAAGTGCCTAAGACCTCAGGTTATGGTATGATGAGTTGTCTCTGTCTAACAAGTAAAAGAGGTTATCAGGTTATGCAGTGAGTTAACTCGATTAAGTAAGGTTAACCAAAAATGGGATTTGGCGATAACAGTGAATCTTAGAGCAGCGTCATCCTTGTAGAACATTCCAAGCGTACAATGGCAGATAACAAGAATGTGATTTCTTTAGCTTCGAGCTTCTTAAAGGTTTTCGCTTGAAACTCGACGTTGGTAGCGCCCTAAGAAAAACGAGATCGATTTTCTGAATTCCAAGTCGCATGCCAATTTGTAAGGACTTCTTCCTTCATAATCAGTTTTGATATGAGTTTAGGTACTTCAAGGTTTCTCCCATTTCTTCTCAATCCTTTTCCTTTCTCTTCTTCCTTCCCTCTCTAAGATCCTTAGCAAGGTAAGATCTTGAGCTTTTTTATACTTTATTTTCGTCCTAATAAACCTCTCAACAACCTCATTTTTTAATATTCAAGCTTTGTGTTTTATTTTTGCAAGAACAATAGGCGTTTTCATCATCTAAGCCTTGAGGAGGGTGATTTCTAGCTAATGAAGGTTCATTTCAGGTTTCTAAAATCAAGGTAGTGTATTTCTAATCCTTTGGTGTGTTAAGCTTTCATAAATTTAAAGACTTTACTAAGATTTGAGTATTTAAGTATTTTAGGGTTTATATTTGATTTTATGATCAAAAAAGTTTTAGAGGTTTAGAAGATATTTTTATGCCACTTTAAGACCCTAGTTAACTCCTTAAAGCTTTATCACATGATTATGAACCAAACTATGGCGTTTAGGATGATTTTTGGGTGTTTTCTCAAGGTTAATAACTATTTCAGGGTTTGAGTATCGATACTGGGATGAATAGTATCAATATTGGATGAATTAGGGTAAAAATTAGGGATTTCAGGCAGGAAGTATCGATACTGACCCCTTGGTATTGATACTAAGGGTTTAGTAACTATACAAGATGCTGGTCTCCATACCGAAGGACTAGTCTCCATACAGAATGACTTTTATCCATACCGAAGATTGAGTATACATTCTGAAGGCTTGATATCAATACCCAAAGTTGTTGAGTGACTTCAAGATGTCAAATAGACTCAAGAGTGATGCGTTTAATATCATTTAAGATGAAACATCTATCTTGGGTACAATAAAATGACTAAAATGGCCTTAGGGCTAAAATTATCAATATACCATTATGGGCCTTAGAGCGAGTAACTAAGAACGAATGATCATTATAGAGGATATACCGACAAGCGGTATGATGAATTAACTAGACTACGAAATATAAGAATCATGTACTATGAGGGTGTCAGCAAATGGTGGACGTACAGTGGTCCCTCTAACTCAAGGGTGAATTAAAGGAAAGCGTAGCAAGAGCAACTAGAGTGTCGCTACTCAGAGTTGAACCCGAGTCAGGTATCGGGCTAGCCAGTTCCTCATATAATAAGTAAGCCTTTGCTTAACGGTTTAGATGAGAGAACAAGCGAGATAACAAGTAGTGTGACGTTGACTTCACTTTAGTGAGTCCAGGTATGTTAAGGTATATCCAAGTTACCATAGTTGCCCTAGTGGGACATTACCAGTGTGAGAGGCACTTCAGGGACTAACTAGGGTGCGAGACCTGTACACTCGCAAGAGTGGGTTAGCAATGTTAATATTATGTGGCCTATGGGCTTTAGATATGCATGGTTAGTTATCTTAGTTCAGTTGGGTAAGCTTTCGATGCACGTAAATTCCGATTCTTACCTCTAGGCTTTTATGTATTCAAGGTAGGCTGGGGTATTGCTTCGAGATGCACATAAATTCCTCCGATCACACCACCAGACCTATCCCATGTCCGTTTGTGTCAGTCATGCATGTATAGTCTCATCATTTCAGTATGTTAGATATGTTAAAGCTTGGCTTGAAGGCTATGTGAGACCAAGCCAATGCTTTAGTTTGTGCGGGAATTGTAACGATGTTATGTGACACCAGATTCCCCTAGTGATCTACCTGATGGTTATGTGAAGACCAGAAGATCATTCAGAATGTTTATGAGACATCGGGTTCCCTAAATAATTAGTGTCTAAGAGCTATGTGAGACCAAATACTGATCAAATTTGTATTCAGATAATGCACAGTATGTCAGATTTTCATTCAGAAAATGCACGGGAGTATCATTATTGCATTTAGATAATGCGTAGCATGTTCAATCATTAGGGTTAGAGACCTTTTAGAGGTGTACTCATGGCGATGCTCTTAAATGAGGATTAAGGGAAGTGTGAGACCCCTATTTCAGTGATAGAGCAATAAAGACTTAAGTAGGTAACACTTGATCTAGCTTATGCATGCACCTACTACATAGTACCATGTCTTCAATATGCTTATGTTTATGAAATTCTTATGCTGCTCTAGATTAGTGATTATACGACTAGGCTTTGTAAGCTCACTCTTCGGATGTTTTCTGTTGGCAGGTTTCTAGTGTGGGTCGTTCGTTGAGTATCATCGTTACAGGACTTCCAGCATATCCAACATAATATTGTACTATAGTTTTAGTGGGCATGTGTATTCATAAAACCTCACTTATATATTTAAGTTATATTATTTGTTTTAAATTATGTATCATGAAGTTCTGATTTTTGTAAAATGTTTTATATTTGTTATTTATGTTTTAATTATGATACCATTGAGTACATTTGAAAAGAAAATGAACATATTTTAAAACTCAGGAGTTGCATCGACATCCCAATGTGGCACTTTAAGCCAAATTGGGCTTAGGGTGTTACATTATGTCATTTAATGTTCCTCAAATCCTTTATGGTTTAGCTTAGCCAGTGATATTTCCATTGCAAAACAAATCAGCAAATGGCACCCAAATTTGAAAATCAACACTTGAATTATCAATATTTGCTGCAAAATCTAAACTTCAGTTCTCTCAAACACAGCGCAACCATTTGTATAAAATCCTCCGCTTCTGATGAATTCCATTTACGAGATAACAGCGAAAGGGAATTTTCATCAGCAGCAATCTTAGGAACTGGTCAGAACTTAACTAATAGCTGTGACAACAGAGCCACAAATCTCAATTATACCTATCTGAAGCCACCTAGAATACACAGCTGTTGAAGTACATATATATATATATATATATTTCTCCACAAAAAGCAAAATTTATTAAAGGTCAACTTACTGTACAGGAGGTAACAGTGTCATTCAATCAAAACGAAGAACTAAGCTCAAGTTCATCTTCAAGATCATCGCCTTCTTCGAAAAGCTTTAGGAACCTAGCCTGATCTTGTTGCCTCTTCTTCTTTTGCCAGTATTTATAAGCCATCACCATCGCAATTATTATTACAATTAAAACAGCCAGACCAATCAGTACAATAATAGCAACCCGCGTTTTATTCCTTGTATCACCCATTTCAAAACCCGAACCGGTAGCACCTAACACCCAGCAAATAAAGCATTGTCAGCATATATTGATAGACCATATGGCATTTGAAATTAAACTGGGATAGTACAAATGGAACACTACATCTGAATCTGGAGAGCTTAAGCAAACAATTTCAAAACAATTCTATAAGAGGAAAAATAGATTATATGAACACATGATGAATAAGTTGTATTTTCAGCCTTAAAACCTTCTCAGGCGATTCCATAGTCCTGCTGGTATGCCTAACCTTAGCCTTAAACAAGTATTTGGCTCTTTTAATCATGTCAAAGGAATTTAGGATTTCCTAATTAAATGGGGCCGAAGAAAACAATTTAATTTCAGCAATATTTTAAACTTGAAGAATAAGAACCAGAAAATCTAATGCAAGAACAATGACACAAAATGGAATATTTTGTAACAGGAAAAGGAAATGAGAATCAAGCATGCCCTCAACAAGCCCATTGATAGGGCATAACAGTTCCAAACCATAGATTAGGAGAGAAGAGCTAAAAAAATCCTCTTACCAGCTGGAAGAGACTTGCAATCTTGGCAGTTAAATGTAGCATTAAGTTCCTTTCCTTTGAACAATACATATTTCCCAGTAGCATTGAAGTCCGAAGCACAAAACTCCCATTCATCAAACATATCATCTGGTTTAAAGGTGTCCTTCTCATAGAACCCACACCGCTTGCATTTTTTGCTTTCAAGTTCAGTAAGAGGCTGAAAACACAAAGATTACACATTTTATTGTACTCTTCGGAAACAAATAAATCGTCATACACGCAAATTCGGTATATAGCAGCAACAACTCAGGAAGAGCTCAGTTAAAGTAAAATGTAATAGCACCCTTATCCAGACCAAACTTATGTGAAACTCAAATGGGCAGCCTAGTTCGATTAATTCTTCTGTCTCCCAAATCTCAATGAACCAGTAAAACATAGAGAGCAAAGAGTTAATACAGTCCCTAAAGAACCTTTGATTCAACACGCATAATGCGAGAATTTACATTAAGTTGCCATCCACACAGAAGAAAATTCAAACGACCACAACTTCTCCAAGTTTCCACTAGGGATTGCATATTTCATAAAGCTATACATAATTGAAGTTTTAATATCTCTATTAATACAGGATCAAGAAAATCTTCTGAAAAATTGAGCCCTGATTTTTATTATATCAATTCATTTTACACTAACTGACAGTACTTAAGGAAAATATTGAAAATCAGGGAAAATTATAAAAAAAACCTGCCAAGATTCTTCGCCCTTGAAAGAATAGACGACGTCTTTTTTGGTGACATCTGGCAAAACCGTCTCGTTCTCTCCTTTGCATGAGAAATAAACCGTCGGACTTAGTAGCCACTCGTGCGTGTTGAATATTTCAATCGAATCCAAAGTAACTTCTGCCGATGAAATTAATCCTAAAGGGAAAAAAGAAACAAATTAAAATCATATCAACATCAAATCTACTGCATACAACTTCCGTGTGTTTGTCTGTCGGGAAAATTAATATACCTGGAAAACAGCTGAAGAAAATCCACCAGACCAGAAAACGAAAGAAAAGTCTCCAACTTAGCCGATTACGAATCGACATAGCGAGCCAAAAGATTACCAAAGATTCGAGGAAGAAAAAGGGAACGATTAAATCACAGAAATTAGGAAAAGTGCGCAGTACGCACCTTTCCTTCCTACGGTTTTCTTCGTATTTTTATTAAATCTTTTGGTAAACGAAATTAATAATAATAATAAAAAGAAAAAGAAAATTATGAGAGGAATGGGAGTTTATTTTCTTTAGTTTGCGTGAGAACGAGTACAAACAGAAAAATGGGATCGGTGACCGCTTCGCACTGCAGGTAATTGTAATACACGTCGGTCAAGTCTTTCGTAAGCGGGGTGCGCACTTATCACCCTCTGCCTTGTAGCATCTCGCCACGTGTTAAATATTAGATATTGTTCACGTTGCGAGATCTGACTGTGGTCTTAGATTAGGGCTTTCGATGGAGAGCGACTCCAATTGGACTTTTTAGCCGAAAACGAGGCTACGAGTATTATTTTATATGTAGATAGATCCATATAATTTTGCCATTTTTGGGTAAATTTTCTTGCGTAATGAGGTTGAATAAAGATTTGCTCATATAAAAGGTTGGAAAAAAATATCTTTTATCTAAGATTATTGTTACATTTCGATTGTTTGACGATTACTACAAGACGTCAAGATTATACGTCTTCAAAAAAATATCATTCCAACTACAACGTTGTTAGTTTATAGGCATACATGCATCTTAGAACAAGATGTCGAGCCTTTTATACGTTTTTATAAAAACGTTAGATGGTCCATACGACGAGTCTAGAAACCACCCTATTTGAGAAAATAAATTGGAGTGATCGATATATAGAAATTTATTTTACCAAAAATAACATCTCAACAATTTTGCCATTTTTCATATGCTTACTTTAATTTTGTATACTTCTTAATTAAATAATATAAAGAAATTTTAATTATTTATGTGATCTAAACATATTCCTAACTTTCGAGGTCAAATACATAAATTAAAAATATAACTTTTTTTTTGGGGAAAATTAAAATATAACTTGAAATGTTATAAAAGAAAGAAAATAAAATAAGAAGAATATAAGAATAAAAGATATGAAAATAAGAAAAATAACTTGTACTATTTTTTCAATTAAATACTTTATATTGATAAACAGAAAATTTTAGAGCTGAGAGATGAGCTGACTACAATTAATCTTCATTTTCATTGTTTCGAGAGATGAGAAACAAAGAAGCATCAGCAATTTTAGAGCTCACTTGCACTTACGGATTAAACGTACAAAATATAGAACCTTTAACCTGCAGTTGCACTTGACTTGATTTTAGCTAGTCACCCTTCTTTGCTAAACTCAACAGCACTCCAGCACTAAGGCTCGTCGCGACAAAACCGAGTGACGCCTCTGTAGAAATATGAAATCCTGCATCAATGAATTAAAACATGAAGTTCTCTTTTAAGTTCTTTTCGAAAATAAAGAAGAATTTGTATCGACCAATACGGATACAAGGTACAAAACCGAAGAAATCCAAGATCATTTTACACCCAATGAAACCTAGAACAACAGCAATGGAAGGCTGCCAAAGGAAGGGAAAAGAATCAGTATAAAAGTTGTCGGTACAAATTTGTACTTATCGGTGTACATGTTAAGCGCCAAACACAACAGTTATCTGCAAGATAAGTACGAATTGGCAACAGAATATTGACATGAATTGTACGAGTCACATGGATATATCTTCAATTATTTATGATGATTCATCACATTCTCGTCATGTACAGGTAAAAGCTAATATTCGAAGTTCTACATTTTCACTGGCTTCAAATCTAAGGCATACGCATAAGAAGGTCAAATGGAGAGAGTAAACATAACCTGCAAGTATTCCAGATCTGCCATACCCTCAGCAATGAGTGTGTAAAGTGACCTTAAACCTTGAAGGGACGGCAATATAGTAAATTAATCATATTGTATGACTGAGTGTGTGTGCACGGGCGTGCATGCACAAGAAAGAGACAAGAAAGAAAAAGAATTACCTAAGATGGCGAAAATATTAGATGAAAAAACTATAAAAGGATCCCGTGTAACGCCAAAAACAGCTGGTATTGAATCAACCTAAAGAAAATGGAAATTTGCATCAGTATCCTCATTGCATCATTAACCAGCAAGTCCATATCCTAGGCATGTGTGAGGAATAATGAGAACCTACAGCAAATGCTATATCACTGAGCTCAATAACTGCTACTGTGAGAAGCAAAGGAGTGGCCTGTCCAAAATATTTGACACCTGTTAGAATCAAGAATTCATTCAACTCAGTAAAGGAATTCAAATTTGTTTCAGAATGAGAAAAGACTGCTAGTTCACACAAACATGATGTGATAAAGTTAACAAGAACCGAGGATGTGAAGCTTGTTATAGAAGACTTACTTGCCAAATGTTGTCCCATTTAGTTATAAATTTATTGCCATCATAATTAGCTGCAACAATAAAAGCAAAAGGAATTAAAACCACAATCAAAAGCTTTAAGAAGTGTAAATAAATTAGCTGAGTTCGTTAATAAAGATAGCAGCCAGCACACAAGTAGTCAACTTTTAAACAATAGACAGAATAACTACATAAGATCGAATGAAAGTGGAACAGAATGCAATTCAAAAGTAGAATATCACGTGTGACGGGGATAAATCTCTGGCATGTCTTCACTATGAAGTTGTCAGACAGATCAGTGTCGTCTTCCTCACTGGAAAATAGCTATCACAAGAAAATGCAATACGATGAGCCAATAGGATTTGAACTCAATGAAGCAAACATAACACGTGGAAAACTGTCATAAATTTAGCAAATAAGATACCACAACATATTAGATAAATAGCAACTTGATTGTCACATTAATCAGTAGACATACAGTACCTTGAACGATGAGAATAAGAGTATAGCAGCCAGTAGTAGGTTGACCACCTCAAACCTCTATTAACAGCAGAGGGGAGTTTATGAGCCCAGAAAAGAAGCATGACAGATGCAAACTTAAAAATTGAACAATGATCCACCTGAAGTGTAGCTGTTCCAAGTAATATCAATGACAAACGAAAGATGATTGCACCAGCAATACCATATGAAAGAACCCGATTCTGCATTTTGTACATAAAAAACTTTAAATTACAAGGGGTTAGCATGGAAAAGCTCACCATGTGTGAGGATATCTTTTCCAGAGATGTTACAGTAAAAACTGACAGCCTCAGGCTGTATGGTTATATGGAATTATAACAATGTCTTAAGCAATAGAAAACTGTATGGCACCTGATACATATGTGGCACTTTGAAGTACTTGAAGATCAGAATAAAAACAAACAAATTGTCTACTGACAAACTTTGCTCCAATAGGTACCTGAAAGGAAATCATATAACTACAGCAATGGCAGGCAAAAGAGAAAAACCCAAGCTGAAAAATCTGAAATTCATTTAAAACAAGAAAAAAAGCCATGTATTATCAGTCAGATAGATATTATGGAACAAGTGACTAATGGGTAACTTTCAACACTAATATCCAAAATACCCAGCAAAAAATTCTGATGCCTTGCCAACTCCCTCCTTCAACCCCACACCAACTCCAAAAGCAACTGCAGAGCACACCTAAACATAATAATGAATACCCAAAATGTCTTAATCCACAAAGGAAAATATGAATCCACATTCAATAAAGAATAAACAGCAATGATTTTGAGAGAACTTACCCAAAAAGCAACACTTTTAGCAGATGATACATAAGCTTTATTTTCCTGAAGTTTCTCCTTGGAATTAGCATAAGAATTCTGCTCATCTGCAGATTTATCCCATAAATCCATCATTTTCTCCAAAAACGATATAAAAAAAGCTTCAATTTAGGAGATTAATATAAATTCCTTAAGTTAAAAAAAAATTAAATCACCTTCAGACAATTGATCCTCCTCCTCCATTCCCCTGGAGCGAGCAACCGGGAAACATATTGCCTGGCGATTATGGCTCACTGTAAGATGAATCGCAAATTAAAATGGAAAATAAAAAAAAATAAAAACATGATCAAAATATGCCGCCAGCCAGACAGCCAGTCTTCTATTATCCGGTACTTACAAAATTAAAAATTAAAGATTAAAGTTTTGCTTGGTTGAGTTAAAGATTAAAGTTTTGCTTGGTTGAAAAAATAAATAAATTTTCATCTTTCTATTCTTCTACCTTTATTTTTTCATTTTCCAAGCCTCTTTCCACTCTACAAAGTACAGCCAATATATTGTTCCTTTTAATTTAAAAATTATAGTTTCAATGCTTAATCATCAACACTAATAGTATTTTCTACCCATTCTTTTATCAATATAGTCAAGAAAATCCATCAGCTTCACAAACAAATAATTATGAATTCAGGAAACACACATTATACTAAGCAAATTTTGACAGACAAGAATACTTATTGTATCAACAGTTGAACATTTTTTTTTTACTTTTTAAGTACATTGATTAAATCTCAAAGTTCGCCGGAACTGATTGTATATTTTGGCAAAAAAGAAAAAAAAACAAATACTTCAACGCACGGATCATAAGAGCATGGTGGAAAGATACCTGAATGGATGACGGAGAGACGAGGATTTGAGAACCGGACTCCGGTCCATCTGGGAGATTGAACAGTAGTCGAGACCGAGGAAACTCTGAGATCGGAGTTGAGGGCGATGCAAATGGCACCGCCATGGGGAACGACTGAGGCTAATCCCATGGAAGCTTGAGCTATGAGCTCCGGTAAGAATATTCTAGTCGGGAATTTTGACATGTGAGGGAAGGCAAATAGATGAAGAGAACGGCCTAAATAAATCTTATCCACTGAAATTGAATCGGTATCCTTTTAACCGCCCCCCCCCCCGGGCGGGGGGATTCACTGTGTTTAACTGTTGAGTTAATTTAAAATTTTTTAGTTTTAATTTTAATTTTGAATAAAAGTTCAATTTAATTAAAAAATTGAAAATTAAAATATTTTTTTATTTTTTTAATTAATTTGGTTATTTTATAATTTGATTCATATTTTTTTCATTTTTTTAATTCATCTTACATTTTAACTCTAGTTTAATAAAATTTAAATCAATATTCATTAATCACGATAAAATACATATATAACTTTATTTTTCTGATAACAAATTTCTTAATTTTTAATTTAATATTTTATTCACTTTAATCTCCACATTGTATGTTTATAAAAATTCTTTATTCTCATTGATTATCAATTATTTTATAGTCTCACTAATATTTTTAAAAAAAAAAATTAAGTGGCCTATACAAGAGCCTCAATCTTCCGATGTGAGCTTAGAGCTCTTGAAATGACTTCGAGGAATACTAGTTAGAGAAGATGGAATACTTGCGTTAAACAAAGATTATTATCCTTCGTTTGAGAGAAAATGTCGATACACCTTTACTAGTGTAAAGATAATTTTATCTATTAACCGAATTATATTAAAGAAAAAAATTGAGTCGTTTCTTTTATTATAAGTCTCTGATCAATTCATTTTTCTGACATTTTTTCAACTGATGAGAGTAATTGGTTATAATATGGAGGCCACTTTTGAAGACTATCAGTTTTTCGTTAAAGTAGATCTTCGAAAAAGTTCCCTCTGTTTATTAATCTTTCAAAGAACGCATATTCTCTCGATATAGGAGTATTATAGTCTCCAATGCAATTACAATACATAAAAAAGACCTCTAACATAATGATATGATCTATTAGAATAAAATTAAAGATTTAACGATCAAATCAACCTATAAATCTATGAGTAATGATCTTATGATTGGCTTCATCAACTAGAGTTAAGATAAATATTTCTGTTACAACTGAGAAGAGGTATTGAATTTTTTTACACCCATTTATAGTATTCATCTTCCTTCTCACAGCTTTCTCCTCTTGTTTTACTATAAACACTTACAACAATTTTTTATCCAAATTAAAAGAAGTGAATTACCTACAGTCGACGTCATCAACAATCAACAATTTTATCTATTATTATAGATATAATTCAAGTTGCTTAGAATATTATGAAATTTAAATCCATTCAATTACTTTAATTGTGAATATTAGATTTATATACATAAATATAATTTAGATTAATTAAAAGCATTTTAATATTAATATTAATATGTTTTAATATAATTTTATACTAATATTAATTTAATATTAAAATAATTTAATATTAATTTATGAATGCATTAACAATAATTTAATAACATATAAAAAATGCCCAATTTATTTTAAATTTAATTTAAATGCTAATTTTGTTTATTATTTAATAATTTTAAGGTTTACTTTATGATTATGTGTTGTATTACCTTTTTAAAAGATTCAAGTTTTTTCAGTACTAAGGAGCCTAAGGAGGACCCATGATGTCGCGTAGAAAGAGGGCATCGATTTGCGCCGTAGTGAGTCCAAATGGATAAGTTGGCCGAAGTTGTTCCCAACAATCTTAGCGAAGTGATCAACAGCCATATTGGCTTCTCGTTGGCTTGCACACAGAGCTCGATTGAGCAAAACCACAATATCACGTGTCGAGTTAAAACCCACAAGCATGAGCACATGTTTTTATTATATATTATTTGTCATAATTTTTTAATGAAAATTGATTTTAAAAATAAAAAATTGATATTTTTGATGAAATTGATTTAATTTGAATTAGAGTCGTTATCGACCTTTGGGTTAGGTACGCCAAATATCTAGAAATGTCTTTAAAACAATTTTAAGAAAAATCATTTAAAAGATAAAAATTGGTTTGCGGGTATCAAATATTATTTTTTAAGGGTTTGAGAGTCGATTACGCGTGAAGAATGATAAGTACCCCACAACGCTCAGAATTAGTAATTTCGATTATATGTTGTCTAAAATAGTGAAATTTTACAAATTGGAATTCAAAACTTAACTTACGATCCTTTTATTTCTATTAATTTAAAAAATGAGTGAAATTCTTTTTGAAAAATAAAAGACTTGATGAAATTGATTTAATTCACTCGATTTATTTAAAAAAGATGTTCACTTATCACGTGAATTAATGAAAATTGAAATCAAGGCATGTTGGACGCAATTCCATTAACTCACGACGCATAACACATTACCTTTGATAAGTTTTGAAAACAAGAAAACAAATATATGATTCATGAATGCAGCAATAATAAATGACATATAAAGGATGAATGAAATATCAAATATAACATGAAAAATAATAATAAATAAAATAAAATAAAAATCGTTTAATATTTATATATGAGAATCCATAATTTATTTACTTTAATGCTTATAATATAAATAAATAATAAAAAATATTAAAAAATATTTTATTCAAATAACCCTTGAAAGAGCATCCCATATTTTTGGAAGTTTTCCATAGATTAATCTAATAATTAACAAAGAATCTCATAAAATTCTATTGACAAGAATGATTTGTATAGATATATAATACAATACTTAAAAATATCCTTTTAATAAAGATATAATTACACACATAAATAATATATATATTAAAAGTAGAAAAAATGCGTACATATAAATAATAATACATGGACCTATTAACAAGTATGGAGGGGAAAAGGGTCAATAACATAAATAATATGAAATATATATACTAGTAGAACAAATAACCAAGTAATAACACTCGAGACTAAAATATAAACATATAAAATTGCAAGCTAAATCCGTAAAGCAACATAAAAATGAGAAAAAAGGTCATTAGGATTAAAATGAACACACAACAAAATTTAGAAACCAAATTAGAAAATCAAAGAACCTTGATTTGGGGATCAAATTACATTATATCAAAAAAGGGTGGAGCATTTACAATGTTTTATGGTTCTAACCTGGTTTCCCTAGTTTCCCTAAACTACATCATTTTGGGAGACTTATATATACCATATAAAAAAAATTAACCCTAGCCCCCCATTTGTTCATCTTCCCCGTTGTTTACTCTTCTCTTCCTCTCAAACCCCTTTTTTTCATTCATGGATGGAAAATCACCGCAATAACCACCATATTCCAGTGACTCCAGAAGAACTCGAAATTCATTCGGATTTAACATATGAGGAAGAACTGGTTCAAATTTTAGCTCATAAAATTAAGCAATTAAGGAACAAGACTATTCCATTAGTCAAAGTATTGTGGAGAAATCACAAAGTAGAGGAAGCAATATGGGAGTGTGAAGAGGATATGAGGAATCAGTACCCTCATCTCTTTGTGTAATGAAAATTCAAGGACGAATTTTCTTAAAGGGGGAGATTTGTAACAGCCTCAATACCGAGTTAGTGACTAAATTATAAAACTTCAGAATTTGGTGATTAAAATAGAATGATTGAATAGTGTTGTAATTTGGTATAGGGTTAAATTGCAAGGAAGATGGAATTGAAGGATAGAATGGTCATTTGTAAGGGAAAATAATTAAGATTTCTTATATTTATATTAGCTACACGTGGAAAGAAGGAAGTAAAACATAAGCTTCCATAATTCTCTTCTTCTCTTCTTTCCTCCCAACGTAAAAACTCATAGCAAATGTGAGATTTCTCATAAGTTGTTTGTTAGTTGAAATTTAAGTCTGGTTTTGATCCTTAGATGCTAATTAAGCTTATGGAAAGCTTAATTTTCTTTAAAGCCATAAGGTGAGGAAGTTATAAGAGATTAAAGAAAATAGGTTTTTAAATAAATTTATGGGAAAGAGTTGATAAGTTGAATTTGAAGTTTAATTTGACTTGTCATCGTGCTAATTAAGGAATATGAAGTGTTAGAATTGTATTTAGAACATATTGAAATTTGAGTATGATTCTTGAATTACATATGATGGATATGATTTTGAGGTTAAAGATGATTTTCATGGATATAAGTTGGTTTAAGTAATGATGGTTGGGTTTAATGACATGATAGGGGTTTAAAATAGAGGAATTGAGTGAAGAATTAATTATTTTCGGGCTTAAAATACAATTTCTGGGTTGTGTGCATCGATGCACTCTCAAATAAATAAACATCGAATGTAATTAGTGCATCGATGCATAAGGAGTGCATCGATGCACCTGCTTAAAATACAAACATCGAATGGGATTTATGCACTGATGCATAGATAATGCATACCTTCATTAAAAGTTGGAAATAACTTTCTTATTAGCCTAAGGAGTGATAGTTAAGAATATATTAATTAGTATGTTGATTAGTATCAACGTATTACTATGTAGATATAGAACATAATTTCGTTCCGGAACAAACAAAGTATTAGGATCAAGTCAAAACAAGCAAGGCCAAGGTGAGTGCCACACTAGATAGAATTGTACGGAGATAAGACTTGCGATAAGTCTATCTCTTATAATTGAATTCATGATTTCATATTCATGTACATGCATCCATATATATATATATTGGATGCAGTGATTTCATGCATAATTCATTTATGCTTTAATATGATATTATATGAAAGAATGAAATTGTCAGAGAATCCTTCCAGGTATGTGAAATAAGAGAAATGATCATGTGAAGTGACTGATGTGTTTACATGGATAGTGATGAAAGAGATATGAAATGAGAAATGTATTTATAATTAAGCCCATGTTATGTAATATGAGAGTTGTAGGTATAATTGGCATGCCAAGAGTCAATGGATAATCAGTGGTCCTTCGGGACAAATATTCAGTACCCCTTGAGGGAATTATACGAGCTGTGGTGACAACATAGTGCACAACCTCTATGTACTCACATACCTTTGTTCTCAATAATATACATGGGCAATCCAAAGATCAATTAAACTAGAATTATTATAAGAATATATGTTTTATATGTGAATGTTACTATCATATATGTTATAGTGAAGTAGATGCATGCAAATAAAGATGTCA